GCAGGAAGGAAGCACGTAGAGCTCGCAAGGAACGTGAACAGCGATTACGCGAGGAAACTCGAAATTTGGAACGCGAGGCACAAGCTGAGCGCGAAATGCGCGCTGCCACAAAAGCTAAACGACGCATTGAAGAGGCAAGACGTCGTTATGAAGAACGCTGGACTTCTCTCCTCTCTCGGCCTACCGCAAATGCAGCTCTTGAAGATACCGGCACTCTTAATTTCGATGACATTCCATGGCCTATCTATATCAAAGGCTCTAAAAAGTTGGATACCGAAGAGTTCACGAAAGATGCTATATCATCGTTCTTGTTACACAAGGAGAAAGAGAAGGCTAATGGAGGGGAGAATACCGAACCTGTCTCCCAGTCTTTCAAGGATATCCTGAGGACAACGATGCTTCGCTTCCATCCCGATAAATTCGAAGCTCGAATTTTGTCTCGCGTTGTGGAGAAGGATAGGGAGTTAGTGAAGGAAGCTGCGAATGCAGTTGTGCAGTTCCTAAACGACTTGCTCAAAGAGTATCGGGAATGAATGGGCACAAGAACTCCGGAGTACTCGAAGGCATTGGGAAACAGGCAGAGTAGGATATTTGACACTGTTTCGGTACGGGGACGATATAGATTTGATAACCACTGATCTGTGTCTGCTTACCTAGAACAGCGAACACGCAACCATTCGACTTAGTGTCAATCATATTCACACAAGGCTGAATCTATTGCCAATTTTTCTTCAGATCAACACTTGCACGTGTGGCGTTAAGAGACGATGCAGTAATAGAAATTCCAAGTAAAAATACAAGAAGGTATAATCTAGAAACCGACAGCGAATAAATTATTCCGACAAGTGTCCACCTCAAATACTCCTGATCACACATCCCCGGAGAGCCAAAAGAGTTTTCGCGGCAAGACTGTTTCGTCGCGCAGTGATTAGGAAGCGGAACTCCTTTGGTAACTGTGTAAATTGGCGGCGAACGAGGTTTAGCAACGCGCATTGATCCTCTGGAGGGCTATATGCGTCCAATGCATCAAGAATCACGACCACGGGGCCTTCTACTCGTGCTTCCGACAGAGGATGTAAGAGAAGCTCGTCGAACTGTGTATCGAGCAGAGCATCCGTTATAGGGACGTTCTCCTCCAGTTGCTGGATAATGAGCGACCTAATCTTGAGATCGAATGCTGCAAGCTGAAAAGTAATTTTCTTGATGACATTGCCTGGTTCACCCTCTCTTCGTCCCTGTCTAAAACAAATCGATGCCCCTTGCTGATGCAATGATTGGAAGTATTCTGCAACCGCCCCACAGATGGTGCTTTTACCAGACCCTGCTGCGCCATACAAGAGGAACAAATTCGATCGGGACTGGGATTTGACCCAGTCAATGATTTCCCTCCGCACCGAGATAAATGCCTTTTCTGGGCACACGTCCGGCAAGTGTGGCTCTACAAATCCTTCCGGCTGAAGACGATCTCGTATGTCTACATATTAGATACAGATGAGTTTTTTACATCAAAGGAGACTGAAAGGAGATGCCTACATAGAATATCTTCATCCAAGGATGCCATTGTTCGAAGTGCAGATACATCCTTGTGATGGATAATTGTTGATTTGATTGCGGTACAACACGTAGATATAGCAGTCATAAATGTGTCAATTTTCCATTGACTTGCTAGAAGTAACATGTTTCAGAACCGGAAGCCTGCTGTTTGAAATAACTATAGCATTTTGATAGTTGGCTTACCTTTCAATGAATCTGTTACAGAGGTTCTCAAGAACTCCCAGCATGCCTTCACTTGCTTTAGGAGTTCGATAATGTGATTTTCAGCGAGTCTAGACTTGCTCTGCAGAGGGGTCCAGGTATCCTCAATAAAACCGAAGGCTTTCTCTATATGGTAGATGAGGCATTCGACTTCTTGATTGTGTTCCCGTTGCTTTAATATAACCTATAGTGTATCTGTAGTCAGTCATAGAATTTATACTATAACTGAAATAGAACGTTTTGCAAATCCACCGTTGATTGTATAGCAGCGTTGAGATGAATGGTGATCTACATGTCATTTGTCAAGTAAGCTAAGAGAGAGGGAAAACAAACGGCCATGCTCACTTTTGAAATATCATCTAGAGATTCGCCAAGTATAGGCAATGATGTATGGATATTAATGATTGGTCCATGGAGCTCCTTAGTATTATTAATCTGGACAACAGCCTTATCTGATACAAATATAGCTTAAGAGAGTTTTGTTAATCTGTTTCATGACTCACCGGCAGAGTGCAACTCGTATTCTGCATTTACAGAAAAATGTACGGATTTTGCAACATGAACATTGCTGACAGTGTGTAGTAGTAGCTGAATTAAACCTGCAGCATTTGTACTTGAAGAGAGATAAAGATTAACATAAGTTGCTAATGATAATCACTTTAGTCAAATATTACAGTAATCAACAATAGCTTATTACCTTTTCGATTAGCACATAACTCTAACAAATTGCATAGCTTGATAACACCATAGAGAGTATGGTGATGTGTCATTAATCTCGATGCCGATTCCTCTCGAACAGATAAAGTAAGGTATGAAGACGTGTCTGACCAGAAGCTTGAAAATACTTATAAGAATTTACAGCATTGGTATAATGTAAGTACTTACAACTTGAATTCCTTGTTCTAGGTAGGTAATCCATTATCTTCAACTGGCTGAGTCTTCATGGTCATGTTGCCCAGTCTCACTATAACACTAAGGTATTTGACACTAGTACTCTGAGGTACATGATCTAGAGAGATCACTACAATATAGATGTTAATTGAGTCAGTCCAAGGTAGTGATTGTACCAAACCTGTAAGGCAGTAATTAATAGGTTTGTCCTTTTGCCTTGCTTGTCTTTCAAATTGTTTGATAACGTTACTCATGACTGGCCGATTTGATGGCTTGTGGTCCCAACAACTCTTGCAGATGTCCTTGAGCATATGCACTGCATCTGCTGGAATGCTTGATGACAGTGTCAGGAAAAAGTCAAAATCTATATATAATCTTATAGTTATTATAAAGTGCAATATGTTTAATATATTGAATATATAGTAATTATCTGTATTTAACTCTATTATAAGGTAAAAATCAGTCTTATATGTTCTTATAAAGGCTCTATCAGTATTATTCATTAATATAATATGGTAAATATATTTTAATAGTCTTATATAAAGAGTAAAAGTATTATAATAGTATTATATTTGAAGAGAAAGACTTATATCTATTATATAATATAATAATAAGACATTTTCTATACTTATAATCTGTATGAAAGTTTTATAAATGTTTATAATAAGTAGGAGTTCTTTTTGTAAGATTACAAGCTTAATAAATATCTTAATTATCATTATAATGATTATTTTTCATAAAGGAACTATCAGTAAATACGACTCAACTTATGTAATGCTCGAGTATCACATGAAATTTTGTACTT